GGCAAGCCTCCCTGGAGGAATGGCTATGTTGTAATCCCTTCTCCTCCATACTCCTTTCAGGGTTTTGGGCATGCATGCCTTCATGAGTTTCAAGCCTCAAGTCCCGGGATTTGAACGGCCTTTGGCCCTGTGGGAATTCAACAATGTAACCATTATACCATCTGCTGGTCCCCACAGCATGTTTTTAAGCTGCTGGGGCTGGGTATGTGGGATCCAGCACCCTTAACCACTATGCCATGGGGTCAGCCCTAGCTATAAATTTCTTAAATCCAGTTGAGTTTAAGGCAGACCTGCAATCTCTATTAGAAATAGCTGGAACAGAGGCCCAGTGAGAGGAAACAGAATTCACAGTCCTGGGCTCCATGTTGAAAATGAAAGGGATAACTAAAAACCTCTTTTTCTCCCCCCAAGTTTTGCAAAATCAGAATGGATTTTTGACCAAGATTTCTTGGGGACTTATTTTTTTTTGGAGAGATTTTTGCTATAGTGCGCGTGCGCTCGCCAGACAGACAGAAACAGACAGAGAGACAGAAAGCGAGAAATCACCCCCCAGGGGGGATGGTCACGCCGCAATCCCTTCTCCTCCATTCTCCTCTGGGGATCTTGGGCACACACCCGGCGTGAGTTTTAAGCCACGGGGTCCGGGACGCGAACCGCGGTCGACTACGTGGGAGTCCAGCAACATAGCCATTACACTAACTGCTCATTCCCTTGGTGACTTCTTATGAGAGAGCAGATTCTTGTGAATTTGTGCATCTTGGCATCCATTAGACTCCTTATGGTTTCGCTCTATTGATAGAAAGAAAACCTATCTACTAGCTGTTGATTCATGCAGTGTTTCTGGTGTGTCTTAACTCTAAGATAAGGTAATGTCACCCTTCTGTGTTTTCCCTCAAATGTAATCTTGTGTGTGTGAGAACTATCTTGTTTGCAAGTGAATAGCTTGGCTCTCCTAAGTCCTTTCACTCTGGACTTTGTATATTCAGGGAGGAATCTAAGATCCTTCAGGGTGTAGATTATGGTCTGCTCAACCAAGACAAGTGGATTTGGAAGCCAATCTGAAATTTTCAAATCAAAGTGAAATGGCTCTGGCTTTCACAAGGTCAGAGACTGAAGCTGCTGACACCTGTATTCCTGGGTCCCTGGCACCCTCTGTCACATTTAACCGCTTTATTTCTCTGTGCTCCGTTCACATGGGGAGAGACAGTGTCATTTCTTTTTGGTGCTTGTCTCCTTGCCTGACATGTAGTAGACACTCGGCATATAGGAGCTTGTCTGTATCCTAGAGCTGGTTTAGCATCTTGGAATGGCTGAAAGGAAGAATTTGATGCCTAAACAGTCTCACTAAAGCAGAGGAAACAAAGGTTAGCAAAATAGAACTTGTAATCCACAAGTGCCTACAAAGTGTTGAACTTCACAGAGAGCCTATTAATGCCATCCTCTAGCAGTCATGAACACCAGCACCGGCAAATAGGTGCTCAGAATACATTCTGGTGAGCTCTCTTGTGAATAACCGTACCAGTGCGATCACCTGCACCCAGATCCTGTGGGCTCCCACATAGTGTGAGTAATGAGGAAGCATGGAATGCTTAGCTTAGTGTGCTGTTGTTGGCCAACAGCCAGTTTGTGCTGTGAGGAGATTGGCGTCAAATCAGTATTTATAGTGGAAGTAGCGAGTCCAGAAGAGCCACAGAGAACCCCTGAAGTGTCTGGTAAGAGATAGGAGAGAGGATAACAGTGATGATGGCTGTCATCGATGGGGCACCTGTGCTGTGTGTTCACACTGTGATGGGACCCCGTATTCATACCTGATGTTCTCTGAATGTTACAGTAGTCCTGAGTTGGGAGGTTGTTCGCCTCTCATTCATGAACAGCTGGGCGCTGGGAGCAGTTAAGCACCAGTAGAAAGGGAGGAGCGACTGGAAAGTGATCTGGGTGCTGGGCACCCTTCCCCTTGAGTGGACGTCCTGCTGCCTTGTAGTCAGCTCCCAACCTTGGCCTTTGGTCCTCTCTTCAGGCTGAATTCTCTTCCAGGAGTTCCCTGATCTGTTTCATGGGGTCTATCATAACCCTGTACCTATCTAGATAAGGATTCAGAGGTGACACACTCGGATACACCTTCCTGTTATAGCAGGAAGACACAATATCTCACATTCAGACCCACCCACAACCCCCAATTCATATGCCATTTTTCTTGAGCTGTTGAAGGGATTCAATAGTGGTGAATCAGTGACCAGTAGAAGAATGCAGATGTTCTGTTCAAGTGGATGCTTAGCTCGTTATCGCAGTTATGTCGTAGCCGGCAATCATGGTAGCCGAGGGATATAAAAATGAGAGATAACAGCAGAGCTTATGGCATTTCTATAATGGGGGATTATTGTGTGGATATAAATGTGTGTCTGTGGGTGTGTGTGTGTGTGTGCACACGTACGTATACTGCCATGGTCCACTGGGAGTGGGAGCCTGTTCTTAAGAAAACAGAGATGATAACTTGGTGGCTGGAAATAGAAATTTTAGTTTCTGTAGCCAAAAATACTTTCTCCAGATGTGGTCTAGGACAGTGGTTCTCCAGGTATGGTTCCTGGATCAGGAGCTTTCACATCATTGGGAACCAGTTAGAAATGCAGATTCTAGGGTCTCATTGCAGACCATCTGCCCTGCCATTTGGGTTTGGGACTCAGTGTTCCGGGTTTTAAACATCTTCTCCTTCTTCTGGGGTGCTGAGTGTGGTCTAGAGAATGACTCCGGCTAGGAAGGTGCTCATGGAGCCGTAGATCAGACGAGTCTCTGGCTGCTGATTCATCGTGTTCTGAGGCTGAAGGTGTTCAACTAGAGAGAAGCAGATGTGTCTAGCTAGATGTTCTTCAACCAAACCAAGGATTATTGTTTGTGGACAATAAACAAAATTGGCAGATACCTTCTTCAGAACTAGAATGCTAAAAATAGAAATATGTATTCATCCTGACATGTAACTGAGCAAATCCTATTGCTTTTTTTCTTTTACAAGACTATGGGTTGTATCTTCCATTATGCCGCATTTTATGGGTAATGAATATTATCTTGCTACTAATACCTTTTGTATTGACTTTCGATTTTTGTTTCTTGGATATCAAATATAGTCTGGTTATTATGAAACTTGTTTCATAACTTGTAATGCTATGCCTTTCTCTTAAGAGATTTTGTGGCATATTGTTTGGGATGACAAACAGAAGTAAAGTCTCAGCATGTCGAAGTCCTCTATGAAATCTTCAGAAACATCCTGGAAGTTGCAGAGTCAAGATTCATAGGTGTGGGAACCAGCAGTTAGCGTAATGGCTATGTCGCTGGACTCCCACGTAGTCGACCGCGGTTCGTGTCCCGGACCCGGTGGCTTAAAACTCACGCCGGGCGCGTGTGCGTGCGTGCCCAAGATCCCGAGAGGAGAATGGAGGAGAAGGGATTGCGGCGTGACCATCCCCCCTGGGGGGTGATTTCTCGCTTTCTGTCTCTATGTCTCTCTCTGTCTGTCTGGCGAGCGCACGCGCCCTACAGTGAAAATCTCTCCAAAACAAAAAAAAAGAAAAAAAAAGATTGATAGGTGTGATAAAGTCGCTGAAGGAGAATTCTCATATTACCATAAAGTTAACATGATGGATAGACAGAAATAAATCAGTGACTATCAATAATAAGATGAATAAAAACTTAGGAACGGACTACTTTGATTTTTCAGGATTTTTTTAAAGAGGGAAATAGGAAATTCTCCTTGACCTTAAATTCTTTTTTTTTTTTTAAGTTTATCCATCTTGTTCTTCCATTAGAGAAAGACAGAGAAGAGGGACAGGCACCCCCAGCATGGACCCCATGCCATGGTCAGCCCCCAATCTCAGCCAGCCTGAACTACAGGAACTCCTCAGGGAGGTTCTGGGATGCGAACCCAGGACGGTTCCATTGTGGGTCCAGTCGTGTCACAGCTGCAACACCTCCGAGCCCCCCCAAATGCTTATAGAGTGGTAGTGTAACTAATTTGAGCCTCCCCAGGGTTAGCAAGACTGGCCAGTATCAGTAGACTTAAACTTGTAAAGTAAAATTGTCCACGTTAAACAATCCTTTCTGCACATATCTTGCTCAAAGTTTTCGGTTTCCCAAGGAAATAATGATTGAAGATAATGTGATATGTGCAAAGAATTCTGGGACTTACAGTCAGGAAACCAGAAATTTAATCTAGACTTCACTCAAATCTGTAACTATGGGCAAGTATCTCTGACTGTCAGTACTTGAGTATTTAATTTTGTGAGTTTGATTCTGTTATTTTATCTGTTAGAGGGTAGCTATTGGTTTAAGCAAACGATTGTTTTACTTCCACTAAAGGAAAAGACAATTTCACCTACACAGTAGGAAAAAAGACAAGATGTAAATAAACTAAATGTTATAGCTAGATTTTGCTAGTCTGCACAAACTGTGTATGCCTTTTAATAATCTTTCTTTTAAATAATCTTTTCAGAATTTGATTGTGTTTAGAAAAATGTTTGGCAGATTAATTTTTTTAAGTTTATTTCAGGGGGGCGGTAGTTACCTTCAGCCGGGTCTCACTGTATGTCCATCCTCACCGCAGTCTCCTAGCCAGCCAGAATCACAGGCACACACGGGCCTATTAGCGTGTTCATATAGGCCTGGGATCCTACCCCGGCCTCCCTCATAACTCCGGTCACCTTACCAGCTGCCCCGTCATGGCTGAGCCAGATTAATTATTGTGAATTAATTTGAGAGAAGATCGTCTTTAAAGTTAGAATGTGAATTTCTCTTGATTGGGGGCTTCGAAATAGAGATTTCTATTTCTGGTTGGTGAAATTTATCTCAGAGTATATTGACTTAGGTTAAAAATGTTATTGTTTCATTTGTGGAATTAATATAAGCTAGCCTGTTAGCTGATTTTCACATTTTCATGTAGTTTCATCTACTTAAAAAAAATATTTTGTAAATGACAAATGTCATCTTTTTAAATCTGAACTGTTTCCTTACAGCGATCCGTACGTGAAACTGTCATTGTATGTAGCCGACGAGAATAGAGAGCTCGCCCTGGTACAGACCAAAACTATTAAGAAAGTAAGTATCTATCTTACTTAAATGGCAACTTAGTCTGGTTAAATGAGGCATTTTGGCTTTGTAGAAGTTTATCATTTTAAGCATCTCCCAGTACTAGATCACTAAATTCTCCACCAAAGAAAACTTTTCAGTATTAACCCAAGATGCCAATTCTGGTTTCTAGTTAAATGACAAAAGATATTCTGAAAAGAAGTCTTATTACGAGTAGTGACTATTTTTTCTTGGAAAGAATACAGCAAAACAAAGATTTGTTCTTGTTGACACGTTATTTTTTTTTTATAAAGAAGGTTAACATAATTTACAATGTATTTCATGAACAGAGTGATTTGTGGAATTCACAGACACAAAAAGAGTGGTGTAACTTGAAACAACCACTGCCAACCACAACAAAATACTTCCTTAGCTACATCAAAACAAAAAAATGTCTTACTAAGGAAGCTCCAAGTATATGTATATCTTTTCTTTTCCTAACGTTTATGCACATAATTTCATTCTAGATTGGTTTCTGTAATTATATCTTAATTTACCTGTTTCTTTATACATAGGTAAAATACATGTAAATATTTCCTTTATAGTTGGGAACTTTGTCGACGATGCGGAGTTTTCTGTCACAAATTTGTTTTCACCTGCGCTTTGGGATTACTTAGAGATTACTGCTCTTTTTCTCCTCACCCCTTTTGCGAGGTGGTGAGATAGTCTCACTCTTTGTCCAGTAAACATGTCCTAGAGCAGATTGATTTTTAAAAAATATACTTTTCCAGCCACGTGCACATTCCTTGAATCTGGAGCTGGGTCGTTTCGTGTAAGGACAGAAACTGCAGCCTGTCCGCTCCCTGGCAGTGAGAATGCACTTTGTGACCAGGAGGTGTTTTGATTAGTGGGGAGGATGCCTGCGAAGGATGGAGGCCATTGTTCCTTGTGTTAGGCATTGGCTGTCATTCCCTGCAGTGGAGCACCGCCTTGCAGGGAAGCAGCAGGGTCTCCTGTCGCCTGAAGGAAGAGGAGCCCAGGGGCAAAGCCAGTGATTGGGGATACTGCAATGTCTGTTCTTCAGAGGGGAGGTCCTCCTTCGCCCTCCCTTTCCCGAGTAGAGAGAGTGTAGCTCTGTAGCTGGGGCTGCTCTGATTACCTCGGCAGCCAGCTTCTCGGTTAGTACCTCTGTGCAAGAACTGCGGTCTTCCTCCTGTCCTCCTGGCCCTGTGACTGCTCCCTCACTCGTTTCCTGCTCCCCCGTTTCCGTTTGTTTCTCTGCCTGTCATCTCCCATGCTCTCTTCTGAAGCAGCCCTCCAGGATGGCTGCAGCCACAGGCAGGCCAGGCCTGCTCTCCATCTCCCTGGCTCCTCTCCCACCTGCCCCCCTCACTCATTACCATCCTGGCTCCATTCATATCCCTCATATCCTGGACTGTGATGCCTCCCTATCTGGGATTGGGCTCCCTGTGGAGTTGTGGGTGGGGAAAGTGCTGATCTTTTTTAAAATGCCAGTTCAAGTGTGGCGAGAGTTCCCTGTCTGTAGTTTGTTGTTGTTGTTGTTTTTCCTGTCTGTATTTTTATGATGCGCTGTGTTGATTTTTTTTTTTTTTTTGCTTCTCCCCAAGCTGGCGTGGTAAAGGAAGTGATTGATAAAGGCAAATATCATTTTGGTTCAAAAATATCTGTAGCTGGTGGTGAGGTGATTTTTTTTTACACATCATTTTTTTAAGAAATGCGTTTGTTTATGAGTTATGCATGTGCAAATGCATAAACATACACATACATGTATCCCTTCATAGAATGTGCTTCCACTTAGTTTTGAAGGATGTTTGGTAGCCCGTCTTTTGTCTGCACTGAGGACGATAGTGTCCCTGCCATGTTTTTATGATATATAAATAAACAGAGAGGTGGACAAGTGGAGAGGTAGCCTGCAGAGTAAGTAGACACACATGTTTTATTTAGCCTCACTATTTTGGAAAAATAGTAATTCCTTTTTGGTGTATAATTAGCAGTGTTTTTTCTTGTTATGAAATCTGATCATCAATATTAATTTCTATAAAATTTATTGATTTAATATAATTTTTATCAGTTATATAAAATTTCAATATTTTATAAGGATAGTGAGTCCTTTCAACTTTCTCCTGTCTACTTCATTGCTCTCCAGAAAGATTTGTAACAGGTAGAGGGAAGGCAACAGAGTTTATTTCCATCTTGATATGCAAATCATGATAATGCTAATATCTTGAAGGCAGTATTTTTATTTGCATGGTGTTCTATAGGTCCCTGATGTTTTTCCTCCTGGTCATAGCATGCGACATATGGGTTCAAATTTATGAATCATCTCTTTCATAAATATACTCCCTCCCTGTCTAGTGTGGTTTCCAGAATAAGCTCTGACAATCGATAATTGTTCATTGCCATTTTGAAAACCTCTCAGCTATTTTTTAATCAAGAAAAATGTTTAAGCAAATATGAAGACTATTGTATTAGTAACTGCTAATGTTTTGAAGACTGTAAAAGATATTACAAGATAATTTCTCTTCCAGACGCTGAACCCAAAATGGAATGAAGAGTTTTATTTCAGAGTAAGTTTTTCATTTGGGGGGGGGTGATAATTGTTACTGATATCTAGATGGACATATTACCAAAATTGATTTATATTGAGGGAGAGCTGTTTAATTTTAATGAGACACTCGTTTTAAGATGAGAAGTGGCAGGTAATTTTCTAATACATTCCAACTTTCGAAACTATGAGTAGTGCTCACAGATTCTGGACTGGTTTTACTCGGGGATGCTTGAGGAAGTATAAAGAGAGTAGTTATTCAAATATCGTAGTAGTGTTTTTTTCCAACTCAAACATTTCTTTAAAATATAATGTAAAAATAATTTAAAACAATAGCTAATTATTTCTATGAGACATGAATCTGAACTATTTTAGAGAGTAAAATAATAGAGGCAGAGAGTAAAATAATGATTAAAAAGCATAAGATTTACCAGTTGTGTCACAGTTCTGGAGGAAAATTTTTTTATGATTCAGATATTTATTGTCGTACATGTGTCTAGTATAAAATTACTTCTGGAATTTACCACTGAATTAGGAAAAATTTTCTTAACTTTGCATCCTTAGTATCTAGAACAACTGTATGTATTAGGTTGTCGGGGACGTCATAACGTATTTTCCTGTTTTTCTATGCAAAAATGTGTCATGACTTTCCCAAGAACCTATTAGAAATAACTGAATTCTGTGATTTAACAGATTTCTGTTTAGTGGGCTTTTGTGGTTGTCATTTTTTGTTACCAAAAATTGGGCAATATTAAACTGCTCAGCTATTTAACTGAAAGAAAAGTTGTATTTTTTCTCTTCAAAATAAAAATCTTTCCTTGTCTGTGTAGCTGTGCTATTAAGTCTGCAACCTCCATAGATGCTGCAGATGAAGTCTTACATTTTCAGTCTTTAGGTTCCTCAAGAGCAGTATTTCCATTCGGCCCGCTGTAATTGGTCCTCCTTTCTTCCTTTCAGTTACGATCGTATTTTATGTCTCCGAACTTGGATTACCGCGTACAGCATCTGTTTTCTATTCTGTTCTGAGCTGAGATATGGCTCTGATAGTTGAATATGTGGAGAGACTCTATGTACGCCTCCACCAGATGTATTTTAAATTATTCTCTGAAGGGCTGAAAATCTAATGGAGGCTGATAGGTACCCTCAGTTAACTATCAAATACAGCTTGCCACTTGTGAAACCCAAATTACTGAGTTTCTTTTCAGTTGAACACTTCGGCTATGTTTATGTACATTTTAGTGCATGCAAAATTTGTACTAAACTGATCAATTGATATTGCTTATAGGGTTTTATATATATATTTTTTTTTTTTTTTTTTTTTTGGGAGGTTTTTGT